AAAATAAAACAAATACTCGAACAGACTCGTCATTGAAATAAATTTGTTCTTCTTTGAATAGTATTTGCTTTATTTCATTTTTAGATTAAATGAGGGTATAGGTGTCGTATTATGTATAGATTTTCTCTTCTCCAACACTAAAAACTCACACCTATACTCTTAGATATTAGCTACAGTACGTGAGTATGCATCAAGAATCATAAAGAGAAATGAAATGGATGTGAAATAATGAACAGTTCTTATTCATCCAAACTTGTCAACTTGATAGAAGTCTAGAGACAGCCAGTTGAAAAAAGCTCTTGATGAGATGCAATGGCATCGAAAGAAAGAAAAAAGAAACAGCATAGTCTTCATTTTCTTCAGCACTCTTTTGTTTACACTTTCTACTTTCACATTGTCATTCAATGTACAGAGATACTAAAGGAAGAAAAAGTAAAAATGTTAACAATTATAAAAATACATTACTGTGTGTGTATTTCTTTCCTTCGTTTGTGCGTTGTTAATGTACTTTTCTGTTGATTTCTCTTGTTTGTCATAATTGCACTCTTAAGAAGAAACCCAACAGAAGCATAATGAATATCAACATTATGGACAATTCTTTTTTTGCGGAATAAACTTTTGTGTTTACACAAAGATATCAGGCGTGCATCACAGTAGTGGTGCTTTTTTTCGTTGCTTTTGCATAAAAAAGGATTTACATCTTCAACACTGTCACTTCGTAGAAACTTCGTTGTCTATCAGTAAAAGAAACAATAACTAATATCCGTTTCAAAATATAAGACCCGTGACCATTTTTTCAATAACTTTTGATAGGAACAACATAGAGTGATGCGATTTTCACCATTAGAAAGAGAAAACTTAGACGCATCCATCCATGCTAAAATATGATTGGTTGATAATGGACCGATCAGGTGCAATCTTGATGAAGATGTTGAGCATCCGTGCCTAGAGACACTTTTCGATTTAACTCTAATCGTAAATTTATATATTGGTAGAAAAAATTGTTCTCTTTCGATCTACGAAAGGCAGACCTTTCTAGCTTGTTCCGTTCAATAGTTATAAGCGGTTTCCTGAGACCCCTGATTTCAGCCAATTGACCTCGGATCAAGCAGAAAACCATCTACGATGGGGTATTTCATCATGCTGAGTCGAATGGTTATATTATTTCTGGATTCAAAACTATCTTAAGGTATTATTTCAATATTTCTGAAATATAGACTCATGTGATACGATTCATGTGATACAGCGGTAGATATTGTGAAATGTAGAAAATTCCTAAAACACAGTAAAAGATGGTTTTGAATCCAAAAATAAATATAACCATTCGACTCAGCATGATGAATTACCCCATCGTAGATGGTTTTCTGCTTGATCCGAGGTCAATTGGCTGAAATCAGGCGTCTCAGGAAAACGCTTATAACTCTTGAATGGAACAAGCTAGAAAGGTCTGCCTTTCGTAGATCGAAAGAGAACAATTTTTTCTACCAATATATAAACTTACGAGTAGAGTTAAATCGAAAAGTGTCTCTAGGCACGGATGCTCAACATCTTCATCAAGATTGCACCTGATCGGTCCATTATCAACCAATCATATTTTAGCATGGATTGATGCGCCTAAGTTTTCTCTTTCTAATGGTAAAAACCGCATCACTCTATCTTGTTCCTATCAAAAGTTATTGAAAAAATGGTCACGGGTCTTATATTTTGAAACGGATATTAGTTATACCTTGAAACCTTCTCAAGTCGAAATTTTTCAGTGTATACATAATTGATGAAGCGAAAGATAATTAAGTCTAGGCAAATAATTACTGATTTGAAAGGTATTTTATTGAATGAAAAAAAAGGATTATTCAAGTATCAAGAATATCAACGAGCAGATCACTTATTTGTTTTTAGATGATAACATTTGGTACAAAATGGACATATATGAATTGTTATATTAAATTTTAGTAATATTATTATAACGTAGTCAATTGAAATAGAGCGGCTAAGGATTATTTCAATTAAGTAGAAAGTTTAAATCGTCTAACAATATGCGTAGTATTGATTGCATGGTTCATGGAACAATTATTTAATGAAATGTTTAGAATCAATAGATAGCAATGCTAAATTTAATGATGTATGAAGAACTGAAAATATGTGAGCTGTACTGAACGAAACAGTTCACGAAAAAGGATTTGATACATGCATTACAATTAGAAAAAGAAAATGTACAAGTCATAAGGCTTATTCATAAAGAAAATTTAGACACTTACTAGGAATATTTTCCTTATTTTTCACACAACTTTCGGTCAAAGTTTCAAGCTTAATTTATTTTAAAGAGTCTTTTTAAATAGAAAATCGACTAAATGAATCAGTTGAACATTATGCTACATATTTTGCTCATTAAAATACAATGTATTTAAAAAACAAAACTTTGTACCAAAAAAAAAGGTATTTCGTATCTTCGGCATGACTGTTCACCCCACTGGACGTCATTTATGGATCAATTATGAAAATATTATACGGTATCCTTCGTCTTTTAAACGTTATAATTACTGGCAGAGGTATTCCGAGATCACCAAAATTAAGGAGAAAGTTGATGAGAAGATTTTTTTTTCTAAAATTGACCGAATTTTGGTAGAGAATATCGCAAATTTTTTTTGTTTTTTCTTTATTGTATTCATTATCTATTTATCAATGTTGTTGTTTTTTTTTTGTGGTTATTTAATAGTTTGTTAATTCGATGTTCAAAATACTATTTTTTTTTTCCTTTTTTGTTTTTTATGTCATGAACGGCGAAGAGTTAATGTAATTAGTGACAATACAATAAATCAAAATTAGTTCGTTACACAAGTTAATCAATAATTTATTCCTGATTGCATTGATCAGTTTGAATATATTTTTTCTTCTTCTTCTTAATATCCTATAAAAACAAAAATTCGTAATCCCGGCTTATAAATATATAGATTGAATGTATTGTTTGACCGTTCTTCTCTCTCTTTCTTTCTTTTGTTTTCATTTTAAGTTAACGTTCTGTCATACTAAATGTTTGTATAAGCCATTTGGTCAGTCAACACGTGATTGATGGCATTGTTGACAGTCGTTGACACATATATAAAGAATGCAAAGAAATAACTATAAGTAAAAGAATATCATTTTTTACCATGAATCGTTACTTACTATACAGTATTATATTTATTCTTATAAAAAATGTTGATTGTATATCAATAAAATATCGTCGATGGTGTTCACCATGGAAATTTTGTTCATTTACATCATGGAAAACTTGGGAATCATGTAATAAAACATGTGGTGGTGGTATACGTACACGTTATCGACAAATGTGTTCATTACCATTAATTGATTTTACACAACATGTTGCTATGTGTCATAAAACATTAAATGATTTTATTCAATATGAAAATTGTTCACAAACATGTTCAATTTATGGAATATGGTCAAATGAAACAAATCAATGTATATGTAATGATACAAGTATTGTTGATTCATGCTGTATGACAGGTAAGAAAGGTTTAGTTTCTTTTTTTTTTTTGAATGAAATTGTTTTGTATATAGATCGAGGACGATGGTCAGAATGGTCATCATGGTCGAGATGTATAGCACGATGTGGAACTTATGGCATACGTAATAGAAAACGTATATGTTTATGGAAAGATGATCTTTACCAATACGATTTAATAAATACAAATTGTATTGGAGATTCAGTTCAATATGAAAGTTGTTTAAAAGATTGTCATGAATCAGGTTAGAAAAATTTTTTG